CTCTCTCTCTCTCCATCTCCCTTCCCCTCTCTCTCTAAAATCAATCAATAAATAAAATTTTTAAAATAAAAATGGAGATGATGATAGTACCTATGTCATGAGGCTGCTGTAAGGCTTGAATTAGTTAATCCAAGCAAATTGCTCAACAGAGTTTCTGGCAGCACATAAGAAGCCATAAATGCTTGTTAACTTAAATAAAAGGCAATAGGGGTGATTAGCAGGAAGAGTAAGAGGTACAAAATTTATTGTTTGTCCATGAAAGACTCCCTGTGCTCCCACAGGAGGGAGGAGCATTAGCCAACCAGCAGTGAAAGTTCCCATTTGGGTCAAGATGTTCGTTAAGTCCTGGCTGCAAAGATTCAGGGCCATGTTGGCCTTCCCACCATCAGACCTCAACCTAGAAAGGACATACCAATATGACCTCATCTCCACAGCAAATGCGCTCAGATACAAAGAAAAAGAAAACAATTATTATTCCTACATTTATGGGACCCTGGCTCAATACCAGACATTATTACTAAACCCTTTGCACTATTGTCTTATCTCATGATCACACCTTCATGATATTAGCATGACCACTGCCCCTGTTTTTAGAGTAGAAAGAAAAGAAAAAAACTTAAGGTGCAGAGAAGGTAAACAGCTTGCCTATGGTCACCCAATTGTTGAACAGCAGACTCAGAATTTGAACCCAAGACTAGGCATCTTAGTTCTAGCTGAAATAACAAAATACCACAGACTGGGTGATTTGAACAACCATTTATTTCTCACAGTGCTGGAGTTTGGGAAGTCCAAGATCAAGGTGCCGGGAGATCTGGTGTCTGGTAAGGGCTGGTGTCCTGGTTTGCAGATGGCCGTCTTCTCGTATCTTCACTTGGCAGAGAGAAAGAAAGGCACACTCTCTACTTTCTCTTCTTATAGGGGCACTAATCTCATCACGGGTTCCACTCTCAAGAACGAATCACTTCCCAAAGGTGCCACCTCCTAATACCGCTACACTGGGGGTTAAGATTTCAACACATGAATTTTGGGGGGACACATTCAGTCCATAACACTGTGTACCTCCAAAATGCCCATATTATGCCACCTTGCTGCTCTGCCACAAAGAGTGTGACATGTTTGGAGTAATCAATCAGAATTTAAAACACCCAAAAAAACCACAACACTGTGCAGGGGGAGAGGAGAGCAGTCCTTTGACCTTAAAGCAGAGAGAGATTAGTAGAGTCCCCTAGTTCTTTTTATAAGGCTCCCTGGGAAAATATTTCCTTAAATGACCTTTTCCCTTTCATTTCTCTTAACCTGCCCAGGTCAAATCTTAGTCTCGCCCCTTAGAGTATAACCCACGGCCTTCACTCTGGGGGGATGTCACTTCAAGATCTGGGTTTTTGATGATGTTTATGTTTTCCAGTAGAAGTAAAAAAAAGAGAGATGGGCATCCAGGGCCTACCTGGGGCCCCATCTTACTGTGTCTCTATGGGTGGGGCAGAGAGCTCGACAGAGCAAAGAGGAGAGAGCTGCTGGGATGGTGCACAGGGGAAATGCATACGACATCCTCTTTGTAGAGGGTGCATCCTTCTTGGAGCCATTTACACTAAGGACCCATGAATATGTGGAGCTGTGTTTTGGGAGTGGGTTTGTGTGTGTTGTGATGATGATGATGTATATTAGAATGTTTGTGGTTGCAAGCAACAGAAACTGAGTTCTGACTGTCTGAACAAAATGGGACTTATTCGAAATATATATATATAATTCACATAATCAAGGCAAGGCTAGAAGATCAGGCTTGGAAAATTGGAGTGTTGGGACCAAGTATCTCCAAAGGGCCAAGAGAGAGAAAACCCAACAACCACCATTTGTGGGAGACTGCCACCAGGACTCTTCATAACCTTCAACTGACATTCCATATCCTAGGGAAGGTCATACATTGGTTTATGATGGTCAAATTTAGAGGCTAAGATGATGAAAGAGGCAGGATTTAGACATCTGGCTTCTGTAGTTGGAGGAAAAGCATTGTTTTCCTCCAAGATCTCACACCTGGAGAATGACTTCCAAATAGGAAAGTAAATGGATAATGAACAGCGCCCTCCAAACACTGCCCCCCCCCCCAAATTTAGCATTACAATGTTAGTGACATGTGTTGGCCTACCCTCCTTCTTCTGATTCTTCATTTCTGTTTTGCTAGTCACCATGGATACTCAAAATGAAAGTGTGAGTTTTGTGTTCATCAACGACAATTTCTTGCACAAATATTTGTCTTGCCTAAAAATCATACCCAGGCCAAAGGATGGCATGCTTCAAGTTAGGACCTTCTCTATATAGAATCAGTTCATCTTGGATGGTCAGGAGAGAGAGAGCACAGGCCAATGCAAAAGAGAGAGGTTCCATTATATCCAGCAGTGAATCACTGCCTATTATCAAAATGGGAGGAAGAACAGAAAGTGAAGCTAAACAAAAATATCTCTGTGCTAAAATTCCCTGGGCAATTACCTGGTGGCCAGAATACCCTCATATGGATGGAATGACCTGAGAAGAACAAATAGCTTAGGACAAACGCCTTCATTGTGTTTCTTGATCTTCCCGTTTTTCATGGCTAGGATTCTCACCTTAGTCTTCTCCATATTTTGCAATGTGGTAAAAAAGTTTTTTGGCAATCCAGGACAAAATATTCTATCATGCTAGATGCAGTGTGCTATACACTGTCATCTTCACCTACCATGATTCCAAGAGTCTAGAATTGCCCGAGATCAGTTGATATCTCTGGCTTCAGCCCCTGGCTCAGTAAGGATTTTGTTTCACCTTGTTTCAGAAGAACCAAACTCACAGACTTTGGGGATAAAGCCCCCAAAGAAAGCTTAACTGAAAAAAATTGCTTTTCTATACGAGAGGGCTATTGAATAATATCACTCACACTAATACCCTTTTTTGTTTTAGTCTCATCTCTTCCTTTCTCCCCTAGGACATGGCTGCCTTGCCTATTTTTTTCTGTCAAGCGTTATTTTTCTCATTCTTTCCTGAACCCTTCCCTAGAGTGTATATTTGTCAGGAATAAATTAAATCACAAAAGCTAGAAACTCTACTTAAAATAGTTTAAAGGAAACACACAACTTGAAAGTCTATCCAAAGGGTAGATTTGTAGGTATAGCTAAGATCAAACGATATCATCAAACCGTGATTTTTCCTCATCATTCAGCTTCACTTTCCTCTATCACGGCTTCATTCTCAACCAGACTCTCCTTCTGGTGGGCTCTAGAAGCTTCAGTTTAACATGGTCGTAACCACAGAAACAGATACCTTTTCTCTCGGTGCCCATTAGTAATCCTCCCACCATTCCGAGGCACGATTGGGTCTTCTTGGGTCATTGCAGGCAAGAGCAGAGGTTGATTAGCCAGCCTGGATCGCATGCCCTCTCCTAAGGTGCGGGGGGGAGCCTTGAATGACAGTCTCACCCAAACCCCCTTTCCCCCTAAAAAAGGCTGTGCCCTGACCAGGAATTGAACCGTGATCGCCTGGATCCTGGGTCGATGCTCGACCGCTGAGCCACGCCCGGCCGGGCAAAAGTGCTTATTTTGGAAATTGACACTTACCTTGATTCTTTTTTCTGTTTTGCCCTGAAGCAATGGTGGAGAACCACTGGCAGTTGGCATGACCAGCCATTAAAAATGTATTGTATTAGAGAACAGACTGACAGTTGTCAGAGAGAAAGGGGATTGGGGGAGCTGGATAAAAATGGTGAAGGGATTAAGAAGTACAAATTGGCTATTACCAAACAGTCCTGGGGATGTAAAGTACAGCATAGGGAACACAGTCAATAATATCATAATAACTTTGTATGGGGCCAGGTGGGTACTCGGAACATCAGGGGGACAACTCTGTAAAATACATGATTTTCTAACCACTGTGCTGTATGTCTGAAACTAATACAGAATAATATTGAATGTAAACTATAATTGAAAAATAAAATGTATGTATATATAATGTATTAATAATTTCCTAACTATTTATCTCACTATATTGTTATTTATTATTTTCTTTTGGAGAAAAATCTCAGAGCACTGTCCGTTTATCTACTTTCCCCAAATCTTCATGAGGCTGGAAAATAGAAAAAGAACCTGCACATTCCAGAAAGGAAATGGGACAGAGGGAGGTTTGCGGTGAGCAAGATGTCTGGACCTCTGCTTTCCCCGTATCAAGCTGCTATTTGTTCTAATTTCTTTTCTGCCTCCTCTGTTCACCAGCCACTCTCCCTTCGCCTACCCCAGGTGAATTTGGCAGCACCTATCTTAGTATCTGACATTGCTCCCTTCAGCCAGGCTTCTCCAGGTAATCATGCTGGATTTGCATTCTGGGATGCTGCAGATGGAGGTGACCCGGATGTTGACTGTGGACACCGAGCCAGCCAGTCACCCATCCTCGGTCTGCCAATAGGCCTCTGGGGCTTTGATTGAGATGGGAGACCTCATCGTGTTATCTCCAGGGCTCTTGGTAGAGGAAGGGAGAGGAGGTGCACAGCGCACTGATTATATACAAGAAACCTAATATCTTGAGTGAAGCAGTTACTGTGGGATATCAGTGCACAGTGAGAAAGACTCATTTTGACTCTGGTCATTGCCATTTTTCTCCTCCCTTCTCCCCTTTTCTCTTCAGTCTCTTTTCATTTCCTTCTCTTCCGGCAGAGAGTGGTGTCCAACCTGGATTTCAATTCTAGCTCTGCCTTTTGCTAGCTGTGTGACAATGAACTAAGAACTTAACCTCTCTGATCCTTCATTTTCTTACCTGCTAGCAGGGGTGAAGATACCTACCTCGGTTCTCTGATGAGAACTAGATGAGAGAATGTCTAAAATGTGTCTGGTGCAAAGTTGGCACTCAATGCTCTTCGTGGTGGTCATTTCTACCCCCCAGCCTTCTCACCAGTAGGCCCCATTCAACCAACAGAGTTCACAGGAAACGCAAGGTAGGAAAGAACAACTTTAATGGAAAACTCTGATTTCCCTTTCACTCCAAGATGAGAACGTTTCTCACTCATGTGCCTTCATGGTCTAATTCTTCCAGTGAGGCACCGTACATATTCTAAGCATGCCGTTATGAAAGCTATGAATCTTTTTGTTAAAATAATCAAATATGCCAGTCGGGCTAAAGGAAACTAAGCAGAACCACAGGTAAGCCCCTGGCCCCGGTGTGTAAAAGGTAAAGGGGCTCTTAGCTGAGATGGCGTGCCGGATGTCCTGGAGCACAGGAGACAGGTCAGAGCTCTGGTAATTGATCAGGTTGAAAAACTTCTTTTGCGCAAGGATGTATTCCTGGCCGTAGTCCTCCTGCACATCAGGGGTGAGGTGGTCCAGGATGTCTTTCTCCAGTTTGTCCTGCAGTTCACTCGTGCCTACAATATCTGGGGTGCCAGAGAAAAGGGAGGCTCAGATGCTGGGAGGACAGGACAAGCCAGGCTGACCCCTCACAGGGAAGCAGGCCCTTGTGACTTGGCTTCTGTTGAGACGGACTGGCATTCCCAAACACTTTTTCAAATATGTGCTCTATAGTGGCATTTATTATATTTTTTAAACAGAAAATTGCACAGATGACAGGGTTTTCACAAACTGAAAAGCCCATGTAACCAGCAACCAGATCAAGAAAAGTACAAACCATGCTCAAGCCCCCACCTCAGTCCCCTTCCCGGGAGCCACTGCCCCGACGAACAGAAGAGAGCAATGTTGCCTGGGTTTGGACATTATATTAATGGAATCATACATGATGCTGAGAGGTCCATCCATGATATTTTATGGCCATAAATATGCTCTAAATTATTTATCCATTATATTGTGATGGGCGTTTGGGATGTTTTCAATTTGGAGCTCTTAGAAATCATGCTATCACGAACATTCCAGTACATATCTTTTCTTTTTTAAAAAAATTTATCTTTACTGTTGAAAATATTACAGATGTCCTCTTTTCTTCCCCCCATTGACCTCCTCAACCCTCCCCAGGCCTTCCCCGCACCACCGTCAGTCCAGCATATAAATTCATTGGTTAATCTCTTC